GAAGGAACCAGGAGGCAAACAGCACTGCTCTACATTAGAATTAATTTAAAGCCTGGCATTTTTGAGAGGAGAAAGCCTCTAGATACAAATGATGAAATTTAGACTATGGACTGACTTCAGTAGTTTTCTTATAAGCTGAGGTAGTCCGTCTTTAACAATCATGGGAGTTTGGAGAGATCTACAGCAGTAGAAAAGGTCTTAAAAGCCCTTAGGACATTGCTGCAAGAAATGGAAGGGCACAGATTGCAGCTTTGAGGGATGCTTTCTGTATGATGCATGGCACTACCTCCCCACTGTCTCCTTTACATATTTAAAAAAAAAAAAAAACAAAAAAAGAAGTATTTATTTTAGGATTTGTCCCCATCCTTTGGTTATGTGACTAGGCAGTTGCAGAGCTGTGCTGTCTGCCAAGCCCTGAGAAGAGCGTAGGGGGGACCGTAGGGGATCTTGCAGTCTAAAAATCCAGATGGTGCTTGTGGGAGGTCTGAGTCACTGTGGTGTAGGCTGTGTTTGACACTGGCACACTGAGGCATCCCGAATGGGTATAAATGTGGAGGTGTGGAAGATAGTTGGGAGGTTCCTAGGATTACCATGCTTTCCTGTAGACCCCACTTGTGTGGTAATTGTAGGGTTCTAGGAGGAACTTTTTTTCCTTCTTGCAGAAGCTCGGATGAGGATGGGGAAGAAGAATCAGCTGCTCAAGGGAGTAGACAAACACATGATAATCTTTACAGAGTACACATGCCCAGCCTCTATAGCTGTGGGAGTAGTTATGGCAGTGAGACCAGCATTCCAGCAGCAGCACACACGGTCAGCAATGCTCCTGTCACAGAGTACATGTGAGTATACCAAGAAGGCGGCTGTATCGCAGCTTGTCTGGGTTGCTTCACTCTGATTTTGTTGCAGCTAAAAAAAACTTGCTGCAAGGGTGGCACTTCTGACCAAGCAGCAGAAGCGATAAAGGATTCTGTATGAAGTGTCAAAAGGCATGTTTTCCTGTTGCCATCTACTGGGACAATGGAATTGCTTCAAAGTGCTGCAGTAGGAAGAGGTATGTTAGGCAGCTTACTCAAAAATATGAACTGCAGGATTTAGAAAGCCGTCTACAGAAAAGAAGAGGTAAAGCGTTGTCCAGGCTACTAATTACACAGCGATTCTGATTCCCAGAAGATTTGATTCTTCAGATAGAGCAGGTTTACCAGAGGATTTTAAGCCTCCTGAGAGACTGAGAGCCATGACAAAATCTGCAGGCTGTGTCCTTTCATGGTGTTTGGGGTCAGCTCTGACACTTGTTCCAATCTGGAGCTACATAGTTCAGCTGGGACCTTCGGAGCTTTCTCCAGAAGTGCTTCACCCTGATCACACTTTGACATTCAAGGCCTGTCTCTTTGGGCTGGCACATCATTTTTTTTTGTCTTTTTAGATTTTGTCCTTATTTTATCTCCTTTTCTGCAGCTTGGCAGTTCTGCTTCTGCCGGGAGTCAGATTTCACATGAATCTTTTTTTTTTTAAATCACTTGACATGATCCAGGATGGGCCCTTCAGAGTGAGAATGTGAAGACAGTGCTTAATCAGAGGGGGAAAAAAATGCTAGCTTTGTGCTCTTGACTGAAAAAGGGAACCCACCTGGCCTGGAGGGAGGCTGAACTGATAGAGTAGATCTGAGGGTGTGTGTGCTCTGTCCCATGTCACAGTCAGACACCTTTCCCAGAGAAGTGTGGCACATACCCCTGTTACCATGTGTGTCTTCCTTTCCTAGGAGCCAGAATGCAAATTTCCAGAACCCCCGCTGCGAGAATACCCCGCTCATTGGCCGTGAGTCCCCACCTCCCTCAGTAAGTTTCTCTTCACTGCTCCTCTCTGCTTCAGCAACTTTGGGGAATACACGATTGCCACTATGGTATACTCTGAAGGGAGCTGATTGTGCAGCCAAACAGGATCTGCCCCATAAATGGCAGCAACTTTAGTAGACAAGCCGTGTCTCACTTGCCATGGCGAATAGAACCCTAGTATGCTACTTAGGACATTGTTATAAAAATGATAAAACTAAATTCATTAAAACTGATAATCCTATGGGCCCAGTCCTGCCACCACTGAATTGCATGAGTATCTTGGTGGGTGACTTCAGCAAGATGGTTCACTTGCATGCAGTAACTTGCTGTCTGTGACACTGGTTCCTCAAGTTTAAAAAGAAATTCTTAAAACGGTAAATTCAGAGTTATTGCTGAACCTCTCTCCTTAATCTGCCCTACAGAGATAATAAGATGAAACTTGGGGTTTTTTTTTTTTTGAGATTTATTTTTTAATCTTTTTTTTTCGCAGCTCTTTTACTTTCTTTAGACTCTACTTTTGTATTTAATTTCCTATGGAGGAAAAAAAAATCTTACATGGAAAGTATTGGTATTTGGAGTGGCCTGGGAGCCATTACTATATGCTGGATAAAATACAGGCTTGCCTTCATGTGTGTGTAAGGACTAGATGAGTCTTGCTCTCCTTCACTGGATCCTGCAAACCTTACTTACACCAGATCTTGGAGAACATGCCATCGCAGTGCTGACTGACTTAGTGGTGTGATTACAGACGATGAGTAGTTTAATAAGCATGTTTAATAAGAAGCCAGCCTTTGGGTATAGGTAGAGGAAAATATACTCTGTGGTGCTCTATTCTAGTTCATTGTGAGAGAAGGAGGAGGAGATTGGAGAATGAAGGAGTAGGAGTGGGGGGGGGGGGGGATACATCACATTCATGTTTTCACTTCAGATTGACCAGTTCATCTCACCTTAGAGCAAAGTGGCAAACCAGAGAGTTGATCCTTGTCTTTGTGTTTGGCTAGACCTCTTACAACCCTCTTAGAAATACAGAGCTTTTCCTGATCCCTGGTGTTCTGAACACAAGCTCTGGTGGCATTATCTGCTCTCAGCAGTGAGACAGTCTTCGGGAGAAGAGCTGACGTGTTGCACGTAGTACAGTGTGGCAAACACTTGCTTTACTGCTGGCGTTTCCTGTTTCAGGAGGGGTACTGCAGAAGCATATGCTCATTCAGTGTCTAGGTCAAGGTCCCCTACAGCTCCTCTTCTTCAGAAAAAGCACACCCCTCTCTGCAGGGGCTTTAGTTAGCAAGAGGTTCTCTGCTTTTCAGTAACTGTCTTCAGTAATGACCCTGAGGGAGGATCCAACTCCTGGTGCCTTAGGCTGGTTTCTGACAGGAGATAAAGATGAGAGGTTTTTTGGAGGAGAACTTGACTTGGCAGCCATCAGTATGGGCTATGGGGAAGTGTAGGAGCTGGGGGAGGAGGAGATTGCATCGCTGCTCCCACTTGGACAATAGGAGCTTCTCCCTAGACAAAGCAAGGATCAGGCTATAGGATAAGTGTGCTTTTTAGAGAGAAATACTGATCATAGGTGGGCAATGGAGAGAAGGAATACATCTGCTGTCCTGCCACATTGGCAGGCAGCAGAGAGGGGGGCTTTTCTGGGATTTTTGTACCCCATTCTCCACAGTAGGTAGCTGAGACCATTCTGAGGTGGAAGAACTTGCAAGACCTGTTCATAGCAAATTAACTGTGGAAGGAGAGGGATGAAAACAGAATACAGATGCTCATGTGCATGTCTGTCTTGCAGGGGGGAGGTGGGATAGCCATCCAAATAGGGTAAAGAGCTGATCTATTCCATACAGCTTTATTTCTGAGAACAGATGGTGAAAACTAGGACGTGATGATCCTGCTGCATTGTATGTCTGTTACTTTTCCTTGCTTTTTGTTTGTTTGTTTTTTTAACCCTTCTCTCATTCCTTCTGTTTTCTCCTTCTTGCCTCAGGGCTATTCCCTTAGGGTTGTAGAGCCTACCTTGTCACTGACACACACCGCAGTGTTTCACTTGCTTGCACTGTGTTTTTCATGCACGTTGAGGCTGCACTCTCTTTTTCTCTCTCTTTCTTGCGTCATCACAGTTGTATTTGGCTGCCATGGACAGTAGCAGCCATATGAGCTGGCAGCTTAAGCCCTCGGACAGTGCACGGACATACTGGTAACAGCGCCCGCAAATGGAACAGGTACTGGAAAAAAAGGTCCTTCTTGCTAAACCCTTTCTCCACTCCAGACCACTCCCTTCATCCCTGCACTGTTTATCCCAGGCCAGTGCCTTTTATTTCTTCACATTCCTTCCCTTTGCACCCCCCCCCCCCCCCCCCCTTTCCCCCTCCAGGCGTTAAAATTAATCAGTTTTGCTCTGCTGCGGACTCAAGGGGCAGTATCAACCTTGGAAAGGTACACCTTGTGATGGTTAGAGACCCATGCCTTGCAAAGGCAAGCCAAACTCATGGCTGCTTTAACTTGGAGTCCACACTTGAGAGCAGCTTGAACACTTAGCACTGAATAATGCTCAAATGTAGAACTTGTTTTGTGTTTCAAAGGCAGAGTGGAAGATCTCCCATCACAAGAAGCCATTTTCTGGAAGTAGCAAGAACCAATACAGCAGCTTTTCAGTTGTCTTGTTCCAACCTTTTGGCTTTCCTTGAGCCCTGCTGCTCTTTTGTTTGCCTTGACTGGTCATAACAGCATGTGCCCCAAACCACAGCTACTTATCTGCCATATGTTTTAAGCTCCTCAGTAGGATTTTTAATTTGCTGAAAAATTCTGGGTGGTGATGGTGGCCTGTCCTAAAGAGTTGTTTTACTGCCTGTTAGATCTGTGTGCAGCTTCTCCTTTTATCTTTGCATTTAAAGTCAGAAAGGAGTAAGTTTTAAAACAACTTCCCTGAGGGAAACACAAACACAAGCACTGAGATCTATTTCATTCTGTTTCAAAACCTTTTTCTGTTTTGTTTGTTTTGCGTGCGTCAAATCATTCCATCCATCTCCCCCAGGCTCTGTGAACAGAGCCCTCCGAGTATCATTCCACTGTCTGAATTCTTAATGTGCTGTTGTCGCTCCTGTTCTCCAAGAGAGCGAGTATTTCTTCCCTCGCAGCGGTCCATGACAAAGCCACATGCATACTGAAAGAGTAGGTGGTCTGCACTGGGCCTTGTTAGTTTTAGCTTGGTTGAATATAGGATATAATTAAGTGTTCCCAGGCAACTCATTATCTGGTATCGAGGACAGTGTGCTCATTCAAAGAGAGCTGCAGCTGCAGAGTAACTGGAATACGTTGGTTCCAGTTGGAATAGAGGCCCCTTTGCGTTTGGCTCATGCAGTCAGTGACCCTTATCTTAGTTTTGTTCCCAGAAATATATGTCCATAAAGCTGCTGTTCCTTCACTTCTGCAATTCCTGTTGGGACTTTTGTTAGCCTTGCGTTGGACTCCTTTCTGTCACGTTGCTGCCTGGTCTGCGTTCTTGCTGCCTCTTGCCATTTGTCTGCTTGCCTTGTGATGTGCTGGGAAAGATGCTATCTGAATTCTGGTGTCTTGATGCCCCCTGCCACAGTGCATGAATGCAAATAAACTTGTGTGTGCTCCTAAAGCATGGTGCTAGCTAGGTGTCCCAGGAAGGGTCACAAGGTTCTTCGGTCTTAACTCTTGCAGAGACTGTTTTTGGGCGTCAGCTCTTAGTGTTTTCTCTGCTTTCTTATTCCTACAGGTGGTATTGTAGTGATGTTAGAACACTGCCTAGGGGTCTGTACTAAGAAATAAAATATGGTTTGAAGGGGAAAAAACTCTAGGGGCTTCATTCTGAACTTGAAGTGTCCTCTGGGCTGAAACATGACCTGATCTCAGTCTGTGCTGTCTTCTATTTACCGAAGGTCGCACTGGAGTTCAGTGTGGTTGCATGGCTAAGTAAAAGGCATTGCATTCTTTCCAAGACTTTAAAAACAAACAAAAAGAACAGAAACTCTGTTCTTTTGACTTGGAAAACTTAGTCCCCTTTGAATTCAGAGCCCACTGGCTGGAATAGGCTGTTTCCTGCCATCTTGTACCTCCCATGCATAAGGATACCAAACCCTGTGTTTTTACTGTGCTCTAGTTATTTGAGATATGGATCAGCCTTTAAGAACTTGAACCCAGCAGCTTTGATCTTTATTGGAGAGGGGGTTGTTTTTTAAACCACAAATAGCTAAAGTTTGTACCAGGAGTCATGGCTTCACATGGTAAGTGATCTTCCAGCATAGCTCAGTTAGCTGTGAAGTACTAATGCAGAGTACACAAGACTTGGTAAAATTTATGGTCTCTAAAATGAACCCATTTTCTCATGAATGTTTTTGCAACCAGTGATTCCTTTGCGTGCAGGCTAAATGTGTTAAACATATAACAAGTATGTGCTGGCAAACTGTTTCTATGAAAGTTTATACCCTCAACAAGCCTAAATCTGAAGGAGAAGCTTTTTTCTTTTCATTTGAGAAGTGTCAAAATAAGCCTGTACGCAATCAGCTGCGTTTGTCCTAGCTGCCTGGTAAGTGACTGAGAGGTGTGTTGTGTGGAATAGCACAAGCCACCTGAAGAAAAGGTTACAACAAGAAGTCTGTTGGGTCATCTACTCAGGGTAGCCAACGCTGTGGGTAAGATATGGATTGAAACTAGTCCTTTGTGCCCTTTTTAAAAGGGCAAATGAGGATGCACAGGCACCTGGGGACTGCAGGCCAGAATCCTGGAAGAATCCACTGTGCGTGTTCTTTAACCTTCTGTGAAAGCGCCTCTTGAAAGGAAATTAAATACAACCCCATGACTGTGTGAGGCACTGTATTCAGGTTACCTCGGAGTAAATTCTAGGACAACCTTAGCTCTGAATTGTTTTGTTTATGCTTGAAATCTTTAGAATTACCTTTTTAAAGGAGCCTAAAGGCTTAGTTATTTTAAGTGTGTGGATGATACAGTTTAGTTTCATACCGTGTGACTGGCAAGTTTCTGCTCATACATCTTCATCTGTTAGCCTGTTCAGATGTGGGTAGCTCTGTATTCACAGCATCTTTCCTCTGCTTCCCAGCAGAGGATGCGCTGAAGGACTTGGATGAGGGACTAGTGTCAGTCACCTGTGGAGCAAAGCGTTCGTACGATGACTGTCGAATGATGCAGTGACCAAAGGCTCAGGGCATGCTTCTGGAGCTGCGCTGGTTACGAGAGGTGTGCAGTGAAGTGCTAGCTCTCTGCTTCCAAATTTCAACCGTATTTTTCACGGCAATAAAAATATCTATGTACTTTAACGGAGGCAGTAACTGTTGCAAAGTGTAACGGGAAAAGGATCAAAGGTGCAAAACGCCTAAGTTAAGGAGAGAACATCAGCCCTAACTCTGACTGCTTTGAGTCTTGGTTTGTTCCTTGTGGTGATTTGCAGGTAGTTTTGAATGTGAAATGCCTTCTGCTTGACTATCCAAATCTCCTATTGCAGAATACTTTGTTTTGTTGACGCAAACAACTGTGGGGTGTTTTCTTGGTGGAGGAAGGAGTGAATTTCTTTCAACTTCTCCCTCCCCAGTGGGTGTATTTTGTACATCTTTGAAATGGTGTTCATCAAGTGGCCAATCTTTATTTTAATCCTCTAAAGAAAGTTGATGCTGCATGTTGTATGCTGTATGATTTGTCCAGGAAAGATGTACATTAACTTTCCATAATGATCGATTTTTCTATCTAGCTACTTTTTACAGTATAAAACTTTAGCAACCGGAATTCTCTGTTCATATTCATCTCCTCTCACACTCCCTATATAGAATACAAAGGGAAAGCAATCAAATGCGATTTTCCTTCTGAGCCTCTCATCTTAGCATCTTGCTTGGCTGGTAAATTCAGCGCTGCTTTGTCTGAAAGGTGGCCTGCTTATCCTATCAGAGAGTTCTTTGTTGACTTCTAAACCGCTCTGAGCCCATTGGGTTAAATTCTCATATGCTTTAATAATGCTCTAAAATTTTTCTGAAACAGTAATCATATTTAATTAACTGTATGGAGCATAGTCCTTAAAAGTGGCTAAGCTTGGTATTTTCTACCTTTTTTTTTTTTTCTCACTGACAAAAGATACATCTACAAAGAGAGAGCAGATGTACCCTTGGTCTTTTAATATAAAACTCCGGCCCAGAACTGGCATCTGTATTTAAGATCTGTGTTCTGCAGAAAGTTTTCCACTTGTGGAAGACACTTAAAGATGAGTTTTCAAATTAGCCACAGGTGCCTTGATCTTGTGATGGTGGGGTCCACTCTGCTAAGGCAGCAGTGTCTCTTGTGCTGGGCAGAGGTTCAGCCCAATTCTGTCTTTGAAGGCAATTGTTAAAATACTGTTAATTCTCTGAAACCCCCTTTAGATAGCTGTGCTTTGGAGAGCCTAAAGATGCCTCCTAATGTTCATTCCCAGTAGGCAACGTAAATCCTACCTCCTTATGTGGAACGATCTTTCAATTAACTCTTTGCTAGCTTAGCTGGCTATTTTATGTGGTACAGTTTTAAAGGTCATAAAAAGTCAGTATGCTCAAGAGCGCTCTTGGGAAGCAAGATGTGGCTATTATAGGATTACTCAAGCTCCAGCTGGTATAAAAAGAGGAAGGAAAATGTCTGTCCTCACTGCCTGGTTCTTAGTGTCATGGTAGCAGAATCCCGGAAGCAGTAATATGGTTACGATGAAGGTACTGAACACATAGGCATAAAGATGGAAAATCTTTTATTCTTATTGCTGTGCATCTGCAGGTTTTTCAGCTCAGTATTCACAGCTGAATGGCATATGTTAAGTTCAGATGCTTCTGGGAACTATTTTGGATTACTTTGCTTTATATATTAAAAAAACCCAAAATTCCCGTCTTTGTGAATTTCTCCTCTTACCCCTAAATTGGAGATTTGTCTACTGTTGAATGGTACAGAGGCTGGATCCCAAGCCACAATGAACTATTAACCATCCAGTAACTGATAGCTAAGATCATCTTGTTTGATGTCAGCCTGTTTCCAGCCTGGCGCAGGGTCTGTTCTTGCTTGACGTAAATTGTTTGACACAGATCCATTCTTCCCCGCTCTTCTTCCAAGCTGCCCGTATGTGATGCATGCAATCTTCTAAAGCCCTTATTTGCTTAAAATACAATGTACTTTTCACCTGCTTTCTTTTCGACCTCCTTTTCTGACATGGTTGAAAGAGGCAACATGACTAAAAGAGGAACAAGGTGTGAGGTGGGTTTTTACATCTGCATCACTTCCATTTCCCGCTCTTCTCTCAAGTGAAGTGTGGAATATTTCGACTGAATGACTGTTGAATTTCTTTCTCCGTAGGGAGTTTGGATAAATCATTAACCCATCTGCACTGACCTGATCAGCATCCCTGCAGCGGTCTGAGTGTGTCACTCAGACTCGACTACACCATGATTTGTGAAACTTTCCTTGTCAGGCCAAGCCAGCACCTCCCTGTTATGCTGTAAATACAGACCAGTTTATGCCAGGAGGTGGTCGCAATCTGTGATTCCGTGTTTACATTAGTCATTCTGACTTTCCTGTTTTGTTTGTTTTTGTTTTTTTTTGTCTTGTCTTCCTCCAGTACACCTCCAGCATGAGAGCCAAATACCTCGCCACCAACCAACCTCGTCCAGATGCTGGCAGTGTGCATTAAAATGAAAAAGCAAAAGCAAAAAACCCCACACATGCAGTCAGACAAAACAATGTGCCAACTGCAGTGCCCCTGTGCTGTCCTCGTGGAACAATCCTGCTGTTCTGCCCAAAATCCAGTGCAGCTCCTTCTGTTTCTCCAGTCCAGACCACCCTTCCAACCTGGTACCTGCCCATTGGAGTGGAAGCCCCTTTTGAATTTAAGCCTTCACCTGCTGTACCTGGTGTGTGAGAGAGAGCAAGCACGTGCAGGCAAGCAACGGAGAGATTACCATCCTGTCCTGGGTTTCACCTGCCTGGGGCCAGCTTGATCAGTGGCCTTACCAGAAAACGTTGGTGTCCCTCCTGTTCCCCAGAGGGACTTAGTGAAAGGTGGTGGTAGATAATCTTCAGTTCTGCAGAGGGATCAGCAGAGCTCAGTCTGTCAACCACTGAAGAAGCAGATGCTCAGTGTCTGTGACTAGCATGCAAGGAAGGAAAGCCAGGTCAGTGCACAGTGTGATGTTTTGGTGGGAGTCCTCTGGTCCAGCTTCCTTTGTCAGGGCGAAGGGAAACCCCTGCCCCATGGTGTCACTGCATATCCACTGTAAGTTGGGAGTCTGGGGCCCTGTTTTAGAGCAAACCACTCCACAGCCCTGGTGATGTCTTTTTAAAAAGAAAAAAAATCCAATACCTTTTTCTTTCTAGTACATGAATTGTCGAGGAGGAGCAGGAGGTCCCATCACCAGTCAACTACCCTGTCCATTGCTCTGAACTGGACCTTTCTGCTCCATCAGGGAAGCCCAGCTACTCGCAGGTGGCATTCTGGGTGCTGCCTTTTGTGAGGCCATCCCACAGATCAAATGGGAGCCAGCAACCTACTTAGTGCCAATTTTTTCCAGGAAAAGACTTGTAAGACTTCATGGTTTTTTTTTTTTTTTTTTTGCACTAAAAAAATTTCAGCTCTCTGATGGTAGGTCTTATGGGACAGTCAGCTTGCAAGAAAGGGAGGAGAGGCTGCAAGCACCAATAGATTTGTAGCAAATGCAAGCTCTCCCTGCAGGAATGACCTGTGAACTCTGCTGGCCTTGCCCCTGCTCCCCCCCCCCTTTTTTTTTTTTTTTTGTTTCCTTTAATCGTCATTTGCAGTGCAGGGTTACTGACCTGGCATTGAAAGAGGTTTTTGGAGCCTCAGTCCTGACAAACTCATGAGATGGGCGGTATACTTCCTCTGTGCTCCAGAATAAGAAACCCAAATAACATCTTGAAAACATTGTGACTGTCAGAACAACTTTTTTCTTTGTTTGTTTTTTAGTTTTTGTTTTTCCAGGCATGTTGCTAACCACTATCTGACCATAGTAAGGCACATTTAGGGCATTTTTCTAGACATGAGAGACAACAAAGCTTGCAAAGGGGCAATTGAGTGCCTGCAAGGGGCAACATCCTCCACTGGTGCTGTACTTTCCACTGAAGAATGGTGCTCCAAATGGCACTGACAGCTTCCTACTAGAAAAGGAAACTGCCGCTTGGGTAGTTAGAAGTAGTGCAGAGTACTGGCCTTTCAGTAAGGAAGCTATGATGTTCCTTTTCTTTGTTTACCTCTCTGAGCAGCGACATCTTAGTTTAGCTGCTGAGCATGATGTTAAATAACTGGCAGAGGAAAGAAGTGGAAAATATTTCTCAAATTGGAGTTGAGCCTCTGGCAGATGCAGTTCACCTTCACCTTGATGATGTTTAGGCTCAGTGTCTGTTTATCCCCATGTTTGCTGTATGGGGCTTACATCCATAGTTTGGGACACAGAATCTACCAGTCTGCCTTTACTTGAGTCAGTTGCCTTCTTGCAGCAAGGTAGGAATCGCTCCTAGCAGATAGCTAACTAGGAAGATAGTTTTTCCTGTGAGATGTTACCAGCTCTGTGGAAGAGCAAGCTTAGAGACTCCTTTTAAGAAGGTAGAAACCACTAACACACTGCAAAAGCCAGCTTTTATCATTCAAAGGAGTGAGGGAGAAAGGCGGAAAAGGTACCACGCTGACAGGAAGAGAAGGTTTTGGAGAAAACTCGGCACTTCACTGTAAATCCATAAAGGCAGGATTTTCTTGCTCAGGACTGAGTAGGCCTTTCAGACACGTCTGGTGGGCTTCACACTGAAACATACCTCGGTGTTATCAAATAACAAGGGCAGGGAAACATAGCCACAGGTTGTATGGAGGGAGTGTGTGCCTCGTGCACCAGTTTTGCGCCCTGTCTTAAAGCTTAACAGGAGACCTGTGCATGCAAGCATGTTGTGTGGTTAGCTTGCAGAGCCCAAAGCATGCAACTGCTATCCAGGGGGAGAACTGAACCTCCACCTCACTTTGAAGAAAGAAGCAAGCGCCGTGTAATCCTTATTAAGTCTGAGTTGTTCTGCCGTCGTCTCTCCCTGTGAGAGTGTGTCCAGGTTGCTACTTACACAATTGTTTTTAGGGGAGCTGCCCAAAAACTTCTGAACTGGCCCTACTCACTGAGGGCAAGTGTTCTGAAGGCTCGGGGGCGGGGGGGGTATGGGGAACCCTGTGCAGACAGGCGCTTCTGTATATTGCGGTATGCAGAATGCTTCCTGAACACGTGTGTGTGACTGCACTTTGGGAAGGGCTGGATCTGAATTGTGGCATTATCTGTGCCAGTGGTAAGGGGGAGCCTATACCTTTTGTTTGCAGTCTCTATGGCAGCAGCCGCCTTGACCTGCTCTCCTCCAAGGTAGGGCATGATCACTTATAACATCCAGAACAACTTCTGACAGTGTTCAGGGGCTTACAGCAGGGCACAGATGTGGAAGTACTTGCTCTGTGACTTCAAAATATAACTGGAAAGAATTTTATGGAGAACCATTTTGCTCTCTGGAGGCCAGCATGACATGACTGTGGTGTGAGCGGTGTACCTTTGTCCAGCCAGCACTTCCTTTACTTGACATGGATATTGCACTTTTGTAAAGCATCCTGGAACTCTGCTGCCCTGCTGCATGCTGTGCAGAGCCCTGGATCGGAAACACAGACAAATGGTTTTATTTTATTTTATTTTTTTTTACTGGAACCTTGAGCAACAGTGTGGCATTTCTGCAGGCTGGTCTGAACAGATCTGCTGAAGAACAGATGGCCTTTGCCTATTCCTATGGCTGCGACACAATTGGTCTCATCCATATGGTCACATTTTGTCTGTGGAGCAGACTTCCAAAAGCCAAGTTCTCCCAGACTCTGTGCCTCCTCCTAGGGTGAACAGCAGGTGCTATCTGGCGAAGACTAATCTGTTCTAGATGACATTAATGGTTGAGGGAGTCCAAACTCTTCAAGCTGTAGGAGGTAAAGCTGCAGAGACTTCTCTCTCTTCCATTCTGTGTCTTCATTTTTAATGTGACAAAAATGCCAAGGCCATATCACTCAGTGTGTCCCAGCTGACGTTATCAGAACATTATTCATGTTACTGGTTGCTAACAAGGGGTCCAGAATTCAGGGGAGATGAGATCGGCCTCTGGACACCTTGCTGACTGCAAAATGGAAGGCAGCTTGTCCAGCTGAAGGTGACTGCTTCAGTGAAGACGCTTCATGTTACTTTTTCAGAAGCACAAATGTGGTCATTGGCTTGTCTGGTTGGCTTGGTTTATTTCCACTGCATCATCATGTGCGAATGACGTTTTCTTTTGGAACTGAGAACTCTTCCAAGCACACAATCATCTCCACAATGTGAAATGTAAATAGCATGTCGGACTCTCATGTCCAGTGTTCAAGACTGCATTGTACTTGTAAAGGAAATCAAATCAAGACTTGGCTGTGAATTTCTTGTGCTGTCTTGGGAATATAACTGTAGTGTTTGTATCCTGTATGTAATATTAAACTGAGTTCATTTTATGTGCTGATAAAAGGGTTCAAGCTAAGATTTTAGCGTACATCCATGTATTCAAATGTGAAGGATGGAGTGCTCCCTTCCCCTCCTGTCCTTTTTAAGTTTTTTCTCCATTGGATAGGTGTTAATTTTCCGTGTACAGTCATCTCAGCCAAGATGCAAGAGTGTTTGAGTGCTTTGAGGGGGACACAGTGCATGGGGATTTAAGTGATCCTAAGTTAGGATTTCCATAGCAGCTCCCTAGAAATACTTAGTGTTCACGTGAAAAGTTTAGCCTTTCTGAGAGTAAACTCTGTGGGCTGCTTAATCATCACTCGTGAGAACTTTTGGCACTGCAGTGTTGACAGCAGACAGGAGCGCAAGGATACAATACCTGAAGAGCAAGGTACAGATGGCTGCGTAGGTAAGCCCATGTTTAATTTCTGGTCCCACCTTCTCTTTCTTCTAGCAGCAACAGCAACTGGAAGAGCCCGCTGAGCCCTTTGAAGAAGAGAGAGGTGTCTCGGCTTGTTAACTACAGCTGCCCCACCTGATTTAAGAGTAGAGTAGGCTGGTACGTTTTCCTTTAGGTGAAGCCACCACTGAGGGGTGTTTGAAATACTTCCTAGGTAGGGACCAAGGAGGAGCCAGGGCCTTCCTCAGCTAAACAAGTCTGCTAGTGAAACTCAGTAAACATCCCTCACTTGGAGAGGAAAAGCCTGCCAGGCAGTAATTAGGAAGTAGATCTTATGCCCTGGGTGAGGGGACCTAACAACACTTAATGTGTACCTTTAACCAGGTGGCTTTTGCCATCATAGACACTCTTCTTCTTCAGAAATTATTTGTGTACGTGCTGTGGATGGCTTCTATAGTCGTTTCAGGAGGCTCAACAGAAGCGTAGGGTGTTTTAGATGGCGAGCGAGTGCTCTGCTCTTTCAGGGGAGAGAGCAGGCTCTCCTGCCGAGCTGTGGGGTGTGTGTGTTGTCTAGCTGCGGTCCAGAAGGGAAGAGTTGCTGGTGGTTCTCATCCAGCCCCTCCAGGTGCATGCATGAACAAAGTGGAACATAAATTAACGTACAACCAGAAAGTTCAAAATATTCCTTTCCTGAAGAGGATAACTGTAGCATGAAGCTCTTAGGTGCTCTGCATATTTGATACCACATTGCTCCTCACTATGCAATTCCAAACTCCTTCCTTCCTCTTTCTCCTCTAATCTTGCAAGATGACTTCTCCAGTGTCCTCGGAGCAGGATGTCACTGAAGTCCCAGAAAGGCTCTTTTGTTTCATTGTCCTCTGCACTGGGTCCGGGTGCCCAGCTCTTACATCATGTGCCTCAGGTCCCTTGTTAACAGGAGGCCCCCATGAGTTGTATTCACATCATTCAGAGGGAAGTTTTTTTTCTTGGACACTGTGCACAGAAACCTAATGATGAACATGTACCTGGCCTTTTTGTAACTTTTCTGTTTTTCTTCTTAACCATAATGGTTGTATATCATA